TTTTTTTTTTTTTTAGATGAAGTCTCGCTCTTGTCCCCCAGGCTGGAGAGCGATGGTGCGATCTCAGCTCACTGCAACCTCCGCCTCCCGGGTTCAGGGATTCTCCTGCCTTGGCCCCCCAAGTAGCTGGGATTACAGGCGCCTGCCACCACGCCTGGCTAATTTTTGTATTTTTAGTAGAGATGGGGTTTTACCAAGTTGGCCAGGCTGATCTAGTACTCCTGACCTCAGGTGATCCACCGCCTCGGCCTCCCAAAGTGCTGGATTATAGGTGTGAGCCACCGCGCCCGGCTTTTTTTTTTTTTTTTTTTTTTTTTTTGAGACAGGGTCTTGCTCTGTCACCCAGGCTTGAGTGCAGTAGCCCCATCATGGCTCACTGCAGCTTCAACCTCCTGGTCTCAAGCAATCCTCCCACATCACTCTCCCTAGCAGCTTGGGACTATAGGTGCGCGCTCCCCCCCGCCGCCTGACTGACTTATTTATTTTTGTAGACACGGGGTTTTGCCATGTTGTCCAGGCTGGTCTCAAACTGCTGGGCTCAAGTGATCTGCCCACCTCAGCCTCTCAAAGTGCTGGAATTACAGGCATGAGAGCCACTGTGTCCAGCCGAGCATTTCTTAAGTACATTATATGACAGACTAGAAAATTTCTTGTAACTAATGATTAATACTATTTTTTCTTAAAAGAAAAGTAGTTTTAGCAAGTGTGTATGGTTTTAACCCTTGAAACCTGAGGTGTTGGAATAAAAATAAGAAAGAAAATTGTTAATTAAATCTCTAATATTTCATTTAAAAGTTCATGTATCTGATGTAAGAAACAAAATTGTTTCTGCATGTGTGTAGATACTACAATCAATAGTACACCTGACCCCTGACCATAAAATTCTGTCAGTTCAGCTTTCCACAGTTATTCTTAGGAAAGAGTGGCTTTGCTGCTTTTATGTAATTGGCAATCCATTATTGGAGTAAAACTCAACTCAGAAAGTTTTGGGCTGGGTGCGGTGGCTCACACCTGTAATCCCAGCACTTTGGGAGGCCAAGGTGGGTGGATCACAAGCTCAGGAGTTCGAGACCAGCCTGGCCAATATGGTCTCTTTTTTTTTTTTTTTTTTTTTTTTAGATGAAGTCTCGCTTCATCTAAAAGTCTCGCTTCATCTCTACTAAAAACACAAAAAAATTAGCCGGGCGTGGTGGTGCACGAGTGTAGTCCCAGCTACTCGGGAGGCTGAGGCTGCAGAATTGCTTGAACCTGAGAGGCGGAGGTTGCAGTAAGCTGAGATCACACCACTGCACTCCAGCCTAGGCAACAGAGCGAGACTCCATCTCAAAAAAAGAAAAAAAAAAAAGGTTTTGTTTCGTTTTGGTTTTGGTCTTTTTGGAGACACAGGTCTTGCTTTGTTGCTCAGTCTGGAGTGCAGTGGCCTGATCATGGTTCACTGCAGCCTTGACTTCTTGGGATTAAGCGATCCTCCCACTTCATCCTCTCAAGTAGCTGGGACCACAGGCGTACACCACCATTCCCCGACATTTTTTTTTTTTTTGGTAGAGATGGGGTCTCACTATGTTGCCCAGGCTGGTCTTGAACTCCTGGGTTTGAGCAATCTTCCCACCTCCCAAAGTACTAGGATTACAGGTGTGAGCCACCACACCCAGCCAGTTTTCATGTTTTTAATTTTTGCATTTTATAAGTAATATTGTGCATTTATGAATAAAGCTTTTGCTGTATTTCAGATTATTTCCTTCAGAAAGAATTCCAGATATGTGATTACAGGTTCCAAGAGTTATGAACATTCCTTTTTTTTGAGACAGGGTCCCACTGTGTTGCCCAGGCTGGAGTGCAGTGGTGCCATCATGTTACTGGAAAGGAGTCCTCATCCAGACCCCAAGAGAGCGTTCTTGGATCTCATGCAAGAAAGAATTCAAGGTGAACCCATAAAGTGACAGAAAAGTAAAGGAATTGGCCAGGCACCGTGGCTCACTCCTGTAATCCTAGCACTTTGGGAGGCCGAGGTGGGCAGATGACCTGAGGTCGGGAGTTCGAGACCAGCCTGGCCGAGAGGTTGAAACCCTGTCTCTACTAAAAGTAAAAAAAAAAATTTAGGTGAGCGTGGTCTCAGCCGCCTATAATCCCAGCTACTCGGGAGGCTGAGGCAGGAGAATGGCATAAACCCGGGAGGCGGAGCTTGCAGTGAGCTGAGATCTGGCCACTGCACTCCAGCCTGGGCGGCAGAGCGAGACTCCGTCTCAAAAACAAACAAACAAACAAACAAAAAAGTAAAGGAATAAAAGAATGGCTACTCCATAGGCAGAGCAGTAGCTTGGGCTGCTGGACTAAAACTACCCATAGTTATTTATTGATCATATGCTACACAAGGGTTGGGTTATTCATGAGTTTTCTGGGAAAGGAGTGGGCAATTCCCAGAACTGAGTGTTCCTCCTCGTTTTAAACCATATAGGGTAACTTCCTGATGTTGCCATGGCATCTGTAAACTGTCATGGTGCTGTCGAGAGTGTCTTTTAGCATGTTTATGTATTATAATTAGCATAAAATGAGCAGTGAGGATGACCAGAGGTCACTCTCATTGCCATCTTGGTTTTGGTGGATTTTGGCCAGCTTCTTTACTGCAACTTGTTTTATCAGCAAGGTCTTTATGACCTGTATCTTGTGCTGACCTCCTATCTCATCCTGTGATGTCTAATGCCAAACCTCCTGGGAATGCAGCCCAGGTCTCAGCCTTATTTTACCCAGCCCCTATTCAAGATGGAGTCGCTCTGTGGTCAACGCCTCTGACAATCATAGCTCACTGCAACCTCAAATTCTTGAACTCAAGGGATTCTTCTGACTCTTCAGCCTCCTGAGTAGCTAGGACTATAGGTACATGCCACCACGCCTGGCTAATTTTTATAATTTTTTTTGTAGAGATGGGGTTTCACTGTTTTGTTCAGGCTGGTCTTGAAAATCCTGGGCTCAAGCGACCTTCCCACCTCAGCCTCCCAAAGTGTTGGGATTACTGGTGTGAGCTTCAGCACGGTCAGTTATGAACATTCCTTTTTTTTTTTTTTTTTTTTTGAGATGGAGTCTCGCTCTGTCGCCAGGCTGAAGCGCAGTCGTGTGATCTCGGCTCACTGCAATCTCTGGCTCCTGGGTTCAAGCGATTCTCCTGCCTCAGCCTCCCGAGTAGCTGGGATTATAGGCGCGTGCCACCATACCCAGCTGATTTTTGTATTTTTAGTAGATACGGGGTTTCACCATGTTGGTTAGGATAATCTCGATCTCCTGACCTTATGCTCTGCCTGCCTCAGCCTCCCAAAGTGCTGGGATTACAGGCGTGAACACAGCACCCTGCCATGAACATTCTTAAGGGTTGAATCACAGTGCCAAATAGCTTTATAAAGAGATTATTTCAGTTTACACTCCCACTCACAATGTCTGAGAGTACCCTTTTTATCTCACCAGCCTTGAATGTTATCTTTTACTTAAATATTTACTAATATGATACCCAACTAAAATGTTGCAATTTTTGGTCTGTTTGCTGTTGTAGAGGATAGGATAAAATCAAGGCTTTTGGAGTCAAATATACATTTGGGTTTGGTCACCGCTCTGCCACTTCCTAGTTTTGTTACATTGGGGAAATTACCTCTTTTTAAGCTGTTTTTATTCATGGATTGTTTTTTAAAAGGGCCAATAACAGTATTTATCCCAGAGGGTTTTTGTAACCATTAAAACAGACAGTCATGTAAAAGAATTTCACACCAGTGTCTGGCACCTGATTAAAAACAGTGAATCCTTCACTTTCAGTTGCAAAAGTGTGTTATATAATTTCATTTGACTAGTGTACTATGTAGGAATTTACAAAATACTTTTTTTCTTACCTACTTCATGGGAAGTATTACATAATAGTTTGACTATGCCTGCAACCTGAAGTGGTAGGCTGAACAATAACCAAGATAATTCTTGCAACCTAGGGAGAAGGTAGGGAGTGATCTTTTGGTGGTCCCTAAGAACCACAAGAACCTATTTGGTTACAAAGCACACACCTGGTTCTCATTCTTGAGGAATTTGCTATCTAAAGACCCTTGAGTTTAACCCTTGAGTCTCTTGGGGGCTTTTAATTGTTCAGAGAGGTCTCAAAGGGCAATAGTGGAAACTCACTGGAGAGGCAGGCTAGTGAAAGTGATTTACAGATATTTCCTGGAAAAGCTACTGTCTCACCTAAGGTAAATGCTAAGGCAGGAAGTATAGGAGTTATTTGTCCTATAAAAGTACATATACTCAGTTTTGTAATTTGAATCTAAAGTTTGTTCACAAAAGCTAAGCCAAAAAAACTATCGCAAACAGGGCAAGCCAGGCGAATCTGATTTTGTGCGCTTGCTGTTTGTATATTCACAGCAAGTTTTGCTCCCTGAATCATCCCATCCGACAATGCTGAGGGGACTCAGCATGGATTAGATGACAGAAGACTGATCCAGAAATCAGGAGCTTCCTGTCTCATCCTAGCCACTAAAGTGAAGTGGGTTAGACTTAGTCTTAAGATTGAATGCCTAACTTTCTCTAAATCTAGAATTATGTAGCTTTGGCGGCGCTTTGGGGCCCTACTTCCAACTTTTTCTTGCTAACCCACTCCTTCCAACTGCCAAAGCATATCGTTGGTAATAAAAAATTATCACACATCCTTGCTTGGATTAAAATTTGCACTCCTGATTTGGGGTCTTATCCATTGAAGTTTTGGTGAAGTTTTAAAATTGTCGCTGAAAAATTAAGTTTTTCTAGTTGGTTAAAACCTGCCAAAATAATGTAAACGTTCTTTGTTGCAAATCTAAATTCCGCTCAGGTAGGCCCTTTTCTCTCTCCCAGTCCAGGATCTTCAAACCTAACAGCCAAGTCTCACGCTCCATTTGGTCCCCGGCTCCCTCTGGGAAGAATTCCTCCTCTGGGGGCGACGGCAACGCCCTCAGTGAGTTTGCTGGCACCAGCGGGAGTTTCAAGTTTCCACTCGTTGGGGAGGCGGCGGGCACACTCCGAGCTTTGGGCTGGGCGGCTCCGCTTCCCTCGACCGCAGGCTTCGCTCGAGCCCAGCGCTCTCCAGAAGGGCTCGACCCTCCGGCGCGTTCGTCCTATTTCCCTGGGGGCTCCCAAGCCCGCAGCCTCCCCCCTCGCGTTGGCCGGCCCTAGACCGCGACCCCCGGCCACGCCCGGAGCCAGGCCTGCGGCTGCGAGCCCGCGGGAGGGGCGGGGCGCGGGCGGCCCCCGGCGGCGGCGTTGGCGCTCAGGCTGCGGCGCGAGGCAGGCCGGCCGGCCGGCAGAGGGAGGCGGGGGGCGCCGGGCAGCCCCGCCTTTTCCCCGAGGAGGCGCCGAGCGGCCATATTGCGGAGCTGTCTGCGGTGGCGGCGGCGCCTCTCGTCTCCCGCGGCCCAGCGCTCGCACCACCGCGTCTCCCTCCCTGCCGCAGCCGCGCCGCCGCGCAGCGCCCCAGCCACACGCCGGCGGGCAGAAGTCGCCCGCTCTCCGGGTAAGCCGCGGCGCTCTCCCTTCCCCCACTCCCCGCTCCCGGTTCCTCCGGAGACGCTGAGGTGGCGGCGAGAAGTTGCGGGGCCCGCGCTGCCCGGCCGTGGCGCCGCCGCCAGGGCCTGGGCGCGCCTCCGCTCGCGCCCCTCTGGTCGAGGCGCCACCGTGGTAATGGCCCGGCCGGCCAGGCTCCTACGCGGGCTGGCGGGGGCCGCGAGGCCCTGCCCGAGTCGTGGCTGAGCCGCGGCCCGAACGTGCCTGCCTGGCCAAAGTCGACCCTTGCCGCCGCGCGATTCTCCTCTCCTCGGGGCGCGGGGTCTGCCTTCAGCGCCGGCCTCGGACCCCCGCGCCCTGGGGACGGTGGGCTACCGCTGCCTGGACTGGGCCCCGGGCCCGGGCTGGCGTCGTCCCAAGGGTTGTTTGAAAATCCAGATATTCAGCGTAGGTAGAATTCGATTTTGCATTTATTAGAACTTGTCCCCCGGCCTCCGGTTTGAAAGGAGGGGTGTTGAATTACTAGACAGCGTGCGTTCCGCCCCAGTGGCAAAGGGGATGTTGCATGACAGGGTTTGGGGCACCAGCCGCTCCCACCGCCAGCACCCGCCAGGCCAGGGCCGCGGTTCCCGTCCACAGCTCTCCCTGCTGCTGTTGCAGCTCTCGGAGCCCCTAACTTTCTCGGGCCCTTGAGGCCGCTCAGTTTTAGCGTCTCGGACCCCACCAGACAAGTTCAGTTCATGATAGCCCTCTTTTCCTTTAAAGGATTCTAAGCTCAATTCCCGGACTAAGTTTGAAAGGGGGCAGTGCAATTTTTTTTTTTTTTTCTTCGGTTTAAACAGACTACATCACTTCCTAAACAGATGTCACGTTTCTTCAAACATTCCCAATATTTGGTGTTTTTTTTTTTTTTCTTAAAGAGTAATTATTAGGTTGGAGGTGTGTTAAAAATCAACTTCATAAAAATATATTTTAAAATCCAGTTGAGATTTTGGTGGAAGACACGTTGCTGAGGAGCTCGATGGCAGTCTTGTGGCACTAACACTGGCAGGATGTAAATATAAAAGCCTAAGATGTTAAGGGTTTATTTGATAAACGAGTACTTTGACATAGACATTGCAATCTATTGTTTACGGAGCATACTTCTTTTTTTTTTTTTTTTTGGAGCACTAAATACTCTTTTATATGACTGATGGAGCTAAGAAGGAACAATTACCCCGTTCATGTTGCTGGATAAATAATGGCTTGATCCATTTGCCAAAACAGCATCACTGGGTTTGAGAAAGGAGACTAATATTCAGGATTGCAGTTTTTTATTTTCAGAATTCCTTTGCTTTCCCCAGTGTACTTTATCTTCCAGAGACTAACAATACTTTACTTCAAATACAGCAACATGTAAAACACTCCTTTTGAAGTTAATCGTATGCTGTAAAGAGGATTGCAATGGCTTTCTTTGCTTAATCGCTTTTTTATATATGATGGAATTTAATAAACAGTTGGTGTATTAGTAAGGAATGAATAGACATTGGCATTCTTTACAGTTTTATTTAAATGAGACAGAATTTGATTATGGCACTGAAATAACGTTGAGTTCTTGACCTTAGGAAACACATACAATGTTTTGTTCACTCCTGTATCCACACAGATGGAAGAGTATGTAGGAGGGGCTCAGAAGTAGTTGTAGAATAGATGTAATTTGGGTGTAGGGAAAATACGTTGAGTCTGTCCTTTTTTTTTTTTTTTTTTTGGAAATTTTGATTAATTAACTGAAACTCAATTTAATTACTTTTCTTTTGATGCTAAGAAATGACAGACTTTGCTGTTCTTTCCCTCCCTTGCTGAGTCTCATTAGTCTCTGGGATAGGGAACGCGTTGTTTTTTGTTTATTGGTTTACTATTCCCAAGAGAAGAATTGGATTTTTTTTTTTTTTTTGGAGTCAGTACATTTTTACTCAAGGAATTCCATGTTGTGATTTCTTCCACTGTCCATCAAGTTCACTTTAGATTCTCTAAAGAGCTGCAGTCAAAAGATTTATCTTCAAGTTAGTCCTTTTTAATGAAACTGATGCTTATTTTAATCCAGTTGTCCTGTCAGTCCATCTTGCTCTGTTGCCCAGGGTGGTATGCAGTGGCGTGATCTCGGCTCACTGCACCTCCGCCTCCCGGGTTCAAGTGATTCTCGTGCCTCAGCCTCCTGAGTAGCTGGGAGTACAGGCGGGCACCACCATGCCCAGCTAATTTTTGCATTTTTAGTAGAGACAGGGTTTTGCCATGTTAACCAGGCTGGTCTGGAACTCCTGGACCTCAGGTGATCCACCTGCCTCGGCCTCCCAAAGTGCTGGGATCACAGGCATGAGCCACTGCGCTGGCCAGAATTGGATTTTATTGTTCATTTTTTATCTTTGGCAGGCTGTTGAAGTGAAACTCAATGTGTTTTTATTTTGCTTGCAGTTCTCAATCTTTTAACCTACTCTGTGTGATCTGATATAGTAGAGTCTGAAATGGTGAATAATGGTGAGAATCTTGTTTTTTCATCCATTTTTAATTTAATGCATTTTAATTTATGCTACTAATGTTTAAAAATGGGGTCAAATTTTAACCAGTATTTCCTGTAGACCAAAGTCTAAAAAAATATGTTTTATTGAGGTTGTGAAGACTGAGCCATGCTAGTGGAGTTTATCTGCAAGGTGTAGCTAAATATAATTTCATGTTACTTCTGTGAATTTGGGAAGTCAACCAAGTCACTCTTGGGTGTCAGGGACCTTCCTGCAGACCACGAGCTGGCAGGTGGTACTTAACTGATACTGCCCCTGGGGTACAAGATTCAGTGGAGCTGGATTGGGTTGCTATGGACTCCACCCTCATTGTAAGTCTCATGGCATTACTGATCCAGTTAAGGCTGTTCTGGTAACTTCCTTGATTGTTGCAGCCAGGTTGTGCACACCTCTTTGGTGGTAGAGGTGTCCAGTCTGGCCCCAGAGAGTTCCTGAATTTCTAGCCTATTTTAGAGAAATCCTGCTTTTCCTACTTTAAGTTTCTGGTATATATCTTAGTATTTATATTGAATGTGTAGTTTAAGCCATTTTTTAAAAAAACTATAAAAGTCATATATTTTATGGCAAAGTTTAAAAACCCAGAAAAATGTGAAGGAAAAGGTCAAAGTTCTCCTTACTCCCTAGAACACCCCAGCCCCTTTCCCAGTCCTGTTTTCCATAGGTAGCTGCTGTTGGCAATTCCTTGTTTACGGAAAATGCCAGTAGGTATGCAGGAATAAACATATACTTTGTATCCCTTATTTGTGATTTTAAAGTCTTGTTGAAATAGGGTTACATTGTAACAGACATTGAAAGGGTGCTTATTAACTTGTGTTAAACATTGATTAAATCATATTTCTCATGTTTTCATCATTTGAATAAAAGCACACAATAGAATTCCCTATGCTAATTCCCAAGCGTGTGTATGTGCAGATTTGTTTTGTACAGATTTTCTTGATTAATGATGGAAGATGAAGTTTACTATTTGTTTTCTTCTAGCATATGGCATATAGTTGACAATGAGAAATGGTGTCTTTTAAAAACAGAAGGTTTATGATTTGGTGTGGGAAATATCCACATCTTGCTCTTAATGAAAAAAGTTTGCCAACTCCTTAGAAAAAACATCCTGTTGAAAGGATATTTTAGATACAGTATTGAAGAAACACGTACTGCACTGTTTATTTTCTCTAAGATTATGGAATTTATAAAGCTATGAACTTCAGTATTAGTAACTGAGATAATGGACTGTTTTCTTCTGAGTTGTAGATAATCTCTATGGCTTTCAGGATGTTAAATGCTTTTTAAAAAATTTATTTGTGAAAAGTTTAAGTCAACTAGGACTGACTGCAGGTAAATTTGTGAAGTGAGCACTCTTCAGTTTTGAGCCCTTAGGTCATTTTAGATGCTTTGGCATCAAATAACAGAAGATTCTCCAATTGGTTTAAACAATGAGGAAATTTAATGTCATTTTTTTCTTAATTTTTTTTTTTAAAAACAGGGTCTTCCTCCGTTACCCAAGCTGGAGTGCAGTGGTGCTATTACAGCTCACTACAGCCTTGACCTCCTGGGCTCAAGTGATCCTTTAAGTTCCTCCCACCTCAGCCTCCCTAGTAGCTGCCACCACAGGTGTGTGCCACCGTGCCCAGCTTTTTTTTTTTTTTTTTTCCGAGACAGGGTCTCCCTCTGTTGCCCAGGCTGGAATGCAGTGGCGTGATCTCAGCTCACTGCAACCTCCGCCTCCAAGGTTCAAGTGATTCTCCTGCCTCACCTTCTGTAGTAGGTGGGATTTAAGGCACAAGCCACCAGGCCAAGCTAATTTTTCTATTTTCAATAGAGACAGAGTTTTACCATTTTGGCCAGGCTGGTCTCAAACTCTTAACCTCAAGTGATCTGCCCGCCTTGGCCCTCCCAGAATGCTGGGATTACAGGTGTGAACCACCGTGCCCAGACAACAACTAATTTTTTAAAAAACCTTTTTGTAGAGATGGGGTATCCCTATGTTGCTCAAGCTGGTCTCTAATTCCTGGGCTCAAATGATCATCTACCTGGGACTTCCTGCCTTGGACTTTTGGCCTCCCAAAGTGCTGGGATTATAGGTGTGAGCCACCATGCTTGGCCAGAATTTATCTTACATGCTAAAAGTCCAGAGGTTCAAGAATTGTTAAATAATGACATCAAGAACTCCTCTTTCCAACTCTCTTCCCTGTAATTTTTCCCCATTAACTTCATACTAAGACTGCCCTTCCCCTTATCAATTTGGCTGCTGCAAAGGAGCCAGGAGCAGTGCTGTGGACCTGTAGTCCCAGCTACTCAGAATGCTGAGGTTGGGGGATCACTTGAGCCTGGGAGGTCAAGCCTATAGTGAGCCCCTTGTCCCAATCTGGCTGCTGCATCCCATCCAGACAGAGCAATATCCAAAGGAGTAAGAGGAACTGTTTCTAGAAACCCCCAAGCAGATGTCTTCTGAGTCTCATTG